TTTCGTAATTTTGAAGTTTTTTGATTTTTCAGTTTTATATTTTTACAAGTTTTCGAGTTTTCACTTGCCTAGTGTTTAATGAATCAGTTTTTCAATTTTTGATTTTTCAGTATAAGATTTTCCAATTCCTCGATTTTCCGTTTTTTCGGTTTTGAAACCCTTCGATTTTTCATTTTTCAATCCAATTTTTAATTTAGTAATTTTACAATTTTTCAATTTTTGATTTGTGTGTTCCAAACTAAATAGTTATTTTTTATAATTGTTTCAATTTTCAACTTTACGTTTTTATAATTTTTGGATGTCTCGGCTACATATTTGGTTTTTATTAATCAATTTCTCATTTTTCAATTTGATAATTCTTCGTTTTTAAAATTTTTCGTTTTTGCAATTAATCAATTTTTGATTCTTCATTAATCCAAATTTCATTGTTTCGATTTTCCAATTTTTAGACTTTTAAATTTTCAAAATTTAGATTTCAATTTTTCAAATTTTTAATTTTTCAATTTTATAGTTTTATAATTTTACAATTTTTCGGTTTTAAAGATATCTGATTTTTAATTTTTTGATTTTTAATATTTCAAAATTTCAATTTCCAATTTTGCAAGTTTTCGATTTTTCAGTTTTGTTATTTTTGTAATTTTACATTTGTCTGATTTTTCAACTTTTCGTTTTAAAATTAGGCGATTTTTTAGACTTTCGTAATTTTGAAGTTTTTTGATTTTTTTTGAAGGTATCTGATTTTACAGTTTTTGATTTCTCAATTATCCGAATTTAATTTTTTCGATTTTCTAATTTTTTGGTTTTAATATTTAAAAAATTCAATTTCCAGTTTTCCAAGTTTTCGATTTTTCAATTTTGTCAATTTTTATTTTACATTTGTCTGATTTTTCAATTTTTCGATATTAAAATTAGAAGATTTTTTAGAGTTTCGTAATTTTGAAGTTTTTTGATTTTTCAGTTTTATATTTTTACATTTTTCGAGTCCTCAATTGTCCAGTTTTTAATGACTCAGTTTTTTAATTTTTGATTTTTCAATATCAGATTTGCCAATTCCTCTGTTTTCCGATTTTTCGGTTTTAGAATCCATCGATTTTTCATTTTTCAGTTCTTCGATTTTTTAATTAATAATTTTGCAATTTTTCATTTTTTGCAGTTTAATGAATGTTCGAGTTCACGATTATCCAATTTTTAATTTAGTAATTTCACAATTTTTCAATTTTTTGATTTTTAATTGTTCAAAATTTCAATTTTAATTTTTCAAGTTCTTAATTTTTCAGTTGAATTATTTTACAATTTTTCGTTTTTAAAGATAACAGACTGTTCAAGTATTCGATTTTACATTTTTTTGATTTTTCAACTTTACGTTTTTACAATTTTTGGATGTCTCAACTATTCGGTTTTTCTTCGTTTTAAAAATTTTTAATTTTTTCGATTATTCAATTTTTGATTTTTGATATCCGAACTTCGTTTTGTTATTTCTCAATTTTACATTTGTCAGATGTTTCAAATTTCCGACTTTAAAATTATACGATTTTTTAGAGTTTCGCAATTTTGAAGTTTTTTGATTTTTCAGTTTTATATTTTTCGAGTTTTCAATTGTCCAGTTTTTAATGAATCGGTTTTTCAATTTTTGATTTTTCAATACAAGATCCAATTCCTCGATTTTCCGATTTTGGAATCCGTCGATTTTTCATTTGTCAGTTGTTCGATTTTTCAATTGAATAATTTTGTAACTTTTACAGTTTAATAATTTTTTGGTTTGACAATTATCTAAATTCAATTTTGTAATTTTATAAATTTTCAATTTTTAATTTTTAATTTTTTGAGTTTTTGAGTTTTCAGATTAAATATTTTACAATTATTCGGTGTTAAAGGTATCTGATTTTTCAATTTTTGATTTCTTTTCAATTTTTGATTTCTCAAGTACCCGAATTTGAATTTTAAAATTTTTTAATTTTTTATTTTTAATATTTCAAAATTTCAATTTCCGATTTCTTGATTTCTCAATTGGTCAGTTATTCAATTTTTGATTTTTCAATAACAGATTTTCCAATTCCTGAATTTTCCGATTTTTCTGTTTTCGAATCTAAAATTTTTAGATTTTTGAATTTTTAATTTTCAGTTTAATAATTTTTCGGTTTTAGAATTATCCAAATTTCAATTTTGTAATTTTTCAAATTTTCAATTTTTTCAATTTTCATTTTATTATTTTACAATTTTTCGGTTCAATTTTTGAGATCTCAATCATGCCAATTTGATATTTTCGATTTTCTAATTTTTTAATTATATTATGTCAAAATTTCAATTTCCAATTTTCCAAGTTTTCGGTTTTTCAATTCAGTTATTTTTCTATTTTACATTTGTCTGATTTTTCAACTTTTCGATTTAAAATTGTACGAATTTTTAGACTTTCGTGATTTTGATGTTTTTTGATTTTTCAGTTTTATATTTTTACAGTTTTTCGAGTTTTAAGTTGCCTAGTGTTTAATGAATCAGTTTTTCAATTTTTGATTTTCAGTTAAGATTTTCCAATTCCTCGATTTTCCGATTTTTCGGTTTTGAAATCCTTCGATTTTTCATTTTTCAATTATCCAATTTTTAATTTAGCAATTTCACAATTTTTCAATTTTTTTATTTTTAGTTGTTCAAAATTTCAATTTTAATTTTTGAAGTTTTTAAATTATCAGTTTAATTATTTTACAATTTTTCGTTTTTAAAGATAACAGATTGTTCAATTATTCGATTTTACATTTTTTTGATTTTTCAACTTAATCAATTTCTCATTTTCGATTTTATAATTTTTCGTTTTTAAAATTCTTCAAATTATTCAATTTTGGATTTTTGATATCCGAACTTCATTTTGTTATTTCTCAACTTTACATTTGTCCGATTTTTCAAATTTTCGATTTTAAAATTATACGATATTTTAGTTTCGCAATTTTGAAGTTTTTTGATTTTTCAGTTTTATATTTTTCGAGTTTTCAATTGTGCAGTTTTTAATGAATCGGCTTTTTCATTTTTGATTTTTGAATATAAGATTTTCCAATTCCTCTATTTTCCGATTTTTTGGTTTTGGAATCCTTCGATTTTTCATTTGTCAACTGTTCGATTTTTCAATTGAATAATTTTGTAATTTTTACAGTTTAATAATTTTTCGGTTTGACAATTATCTAAATTCAATTTTGTAATTTTATGAATTTTCTATTTTTAATTTTTAATTTTTTGAGTTTTTGATTTTTCAGTTCAAATATTTTACAATTTTTCAGTGTTAAAACATATCTGATTTTTCAGTTTTTGATTCCTCAATTATCCGAATTTGATTTTTAAATTTTTTTAAGTTTTTGAATTTTAATACATATTTCAAAATTTCAATTTCTGATTTTCCAGGTTTTCGATTTTTCAATTTTACATTTGTCTGATTTTTCAACTTTTCGATTTTGAAATTATACGATTTTTTAGAGTTTCGTAATTTTCAAGGTTTTTTGATTTTTAAATGATATATTGTTACAATTTTTCAAGTTTTCAATTGTCCATTTAATGAATCAGTTTTTCAATTTTCGATGTCTCAATAAAATTTACCAATTTCTCAATTTTCCGATTTTTCGGTTTTTGAATACTTCGATTTTTCATTTTTGAATTATCCAATTTTTAATTTGGTGAAATTTTACAATTTTTTAATTTTTTTATTTTTAATTGTTCCAAATTTCAGTCTTAATTTTTCATTATTTTAATTTTTCAGTTTAATTATTTTACAATTTTCCGTTTTTAAAGACAACAGATTTTTCAATTTTTGGATGTTTCGATTATTCGGTTTTTAAAATCAATTTCTCAATTTTCAATTTTACAATTCTTCGTTTTTGAAAATTTTCGTTTTTTCAATAATTATTCAATTTTTCAGTTTTCAACAATTATCTGAACTTCATTGTTTCGACCTTCAATTTTCGATTTCATAATTTCGTAATTTTTCGATTTTAAAATTTTTCAAATACGTAATTTTGCAATTTTTTGATTTTTCAGTTTTATATTTTTACAATTTCTCAATTGGCTATTAATCAATTTTTCTTCGTTTTTTCATTTATTCAATTTATTATTTTTCATTTATCCGAATTTTATTCTTTAGATTTTCCAATTTTTTGAAATTTAATTTTTCAAAATTTCGATTTAAATTTTGTAGTTTTTCAATTTTTCGATTTTAAAATTATTCGACTTTTAATTTTATGTGTATGCGATTTTGCAGTTTTAGAATTTAATAATTTTTCGATTTCTCAATTATTCAATTTTTCAATTTTTTGATTTTTCAGTTTTATATTTTTACAGGTTTTCGATTTCTCAATTATTATTATTATTTTTATTGAATCAATGTTCATTTTTCAATTGTTCGATATTTGAAAGCTCTCTATGTTTTAACTTCTCGGTCGTAGACAAACACAAAAAAAATAATAAAGGCTGTCAAAACTCATTTATAGGCGTCATTTTGTTTCTTACACTGTTACTAGTCTTGTCTATATTTGATTCAATGTACAAAGATTATCATAAATAGAAGTTCGTAAAATAAAATTTTATCATTTTTCAAAGAAGCAGGACTTGTTCGACTGTACCGTTATCGGTAATTTTTTTTCAAATATTGATTTAATTATAAAGCGCCATTTAACCTGTCGAATTAAATTTTAATTGTTTTCGTCTGCCGAATAGCGCTACCTTGTTAATCTGCACATTGTTTAATTTTTTTACTACATCAAAGCCCATTGAAGTTTCAGAGGAATTCCGGTAATAAAATGCCACTCTTAATGACATTATCGTCCCTGCAAGTAACGGAAATTGAATTTAAAAAACCCCGAAATTTAACTATGTATCCACACAACGACGTTAAATTTGGCAAACGTGCGTGATTAATTTTAAAACGTGATATAACCAGCTCCGCTTCGCCCGTCCTTCCAATTTGCAATCGCCACTCACCCTTACCGCGAAAAATCCAATAATTACTTCATTATCTGTTTCAGGCTTTCCCAATTAAGACGATGAGGTCCTCTGCTAAACAAGCATCAGCGCAAGCATTATGGAAACGACGACGGATATAACAAGATTACCGTGTCGGTGCTGTAAATAATTTCCTCTCATCTGGAGAATGTCTGTGATTCGGTCGATTTAATGCCGGCGAAGAAAATGTTGTTGGTGCTGAAACCGCGTGTGAAAAAGTGCTAATGTGATGCGAATTACACTCAACGCGTCCGCGTGTGCGGCACTTTTGGAAGATGTCAAATGGGGCGAACCGCGACTCCTCCTATCCCTCTCGGTACTCGCACTCATCAATGTCATGGTCATCGTCGGAAACTGTCTTGTCATCGCTGCGGTTTTTTGCTCGTCGAAGCTGAGGTCTGTTACCAATCTCTTCATCGTGTCGTTGGCTGTGGCCGATCTGCTCGTGGGAGTGGCGGTTTTGCCCTTTTCTGCGACGTGGGAGGTGTTCAAGGTAGGTTTTCGGCTAAGAGGCACTCGTAATTGGCGCAGTCGGTAGGATACCGAAAACGGGGACCGGTAAAGACGGATTGTTTTGTTTAGATCAGCGGCTCTCAAAATGTAGGAGTCGTTAGACTCAAGAGCTTATACATAGTAAGAGTAATCTTAAACGGATAATACTATTCTACAATGCACATTAAATTAACTGAAGATCTATCTAGAGCATTAGTTCTAGCAGAGTTTATATAAAAAGAAATATGTTGGCCAGTATTTAGTCGTGGTACATGAAAATTAATTTTACCCAAGAGAACAGAACAATCAGTTCTATTATGAAGAAAATTATTTATTTATTTATTTATTTATTTATTTATTCAACGGGATACCCCTTAAGATAAGGTACGAGACAAAAAATTATCACGGTGCAATTTTTTAAGAATTTTTTATTATCTAGACCTTTGACTAAATAATACACCCAGTAGAAGTTAATTTACTAAACAAAAATGTTTTTTTCAGTGATATTTTTGCATCAAATAATTTCTGATCGGTGAAAACTCAATTGTGTCAAGAAATTTTGAGACAAAAAATTATCACGCATCACTTTTTGTATAAAAATCAATTAGAAAAACGTAGTATGCGTAATTGTTGTTTATTTGTATGATATGCACGATATGCAATTGTTTGTTAGAACTGATAAAGTGTCGAAATATAATTGGCTGAGCTACAATAATTGTCTTTCGCCATGGGCAAAGAAAACGATCTAACAGAACGTGAAAAAGGACAGATTGAGGCATACTATGACCAAGGTTTGACTTTTGCGGAAATAGGATGAAAGATTGGAAGAGATCGGACCACAATCTCCAAGTTTGTAAGAAAGAAATACAGTGAAAATGGACGACAAAATTGTGGAAGAAAAGAAAAACTCACTGCACGTGCCAAAAGATCCATTGTGGCTCCGGGTATAAAGGATAACATGTCGTCTCAAATGATAAAGACGACCCTAGGACTTCCTGTTCACAAAAGAACAGTTTTCCGAGTTCTGGTTAATGACAAAAATGTTAAATATGCCAAATATAAGAAACAACAAATGTTAATAAAAGAACATATTAAAAAACGTCGTGGGCCAGAAAAATGCAGACGAAAAATGAAGAAGGGTTCCAGATAGATTTTTCAGATAAAAAGAAAGTTAATCTTGATGGTCCTGATGGTTTTAGATATTATTGGCACGATTTACGGAAAGAACCAAAGTATTTGTCAAAATTAGTTCAAGGAGGTGGCAATGTTATGGTCTGGGGTGCCTTTAGTAGCTTAGGAAATAATAACTTAGCATTAATCAAATCGAATGGACTCTCTGAATTACCAAGATGTGTTGGAAATGCACCTCAAACCACCTTTGAACCTATTTCAAGACAGCAAAGTGATTTTTCAGCAAAATAATGCGTCGATTCATGTGTCTAATTCATCGAAAACGTGGTTTCAACGACAAAATATAGCTTTGCTATAATAGCCTGCGGAAAGCCTACATCTCAACCCTATTGAGAATGTATGGAACTCCATACTTGTACGAGAGGTTTATAAAGATGGGAAGCAGTACGCAACAGTTAATGAATCGAAAGATGGTATCTTGACGGCTTGGGAGAATTTGGACGTCAATTACTTCATCCATTTGGTCAATTCTATGAAGTAACGCGTCTACAATCTCATAGAAGCAGGTGGAAAATACATTAAATTAGTTTTCATTTAGTTAGTTAGTTATTTCTCTTTTAAGCGTGATAATAATTTGTCACAATAAGTCTGTTAACAAAATTACATATTTTCAATAAATTTCGTTCAGTTTTGTGTTTTCTGTGAAAATGTTTTATTAAATTAATTAAAAATGGAATTGCTCAATCAACCAGGTATCTTCACTTCCTTTTAATACATTTAGGCAAAAATTCTGCACCGTGATAATTTTTTGTCTCGTACCTTATATACAATTAATAGTGAAACAAAAAGATCCAGAAGGACATAAAAATTAAATATAAACGCAAAAATAAATAAAAGTTAACTTTCCAAAAAAAAAAACAGATATAAAATAACCTGAGTAAATATAGCTAAATTTAGCAAAATTTAACAAAACATATTCTAACATACAGAACAGAATATAAATTCTTAACAAGTTTAGACGCAAGCTAAGAGGTTAACAAATTTCTTACTTTATTCCTAAATTTCCCTTTGGTTGTGTTAAACAATAGAAATTGATCATGATTTACCGGCCGATTAGCCTCTCTCATCATACGGAACAAAGGATGATTTCCAGCTCTGGAAGAGTTGTACAATGGGACACGAAACAGAACTACGCTACGTGTGTTTCTAGAATTGGTCGGTGCCACCCAAAACATTAATTGACTCAATAAATCAGAATTGTCAATATAACCATTGATAATCCCATGCAAAAAATTTACGTCGGCTATATTGCGCCGGTCCTCAAGAGAATTCATGTTGAGAGTACACATAATCCAAGTGTAGTCACCTTGGCGATGACTTCGATTAAATTTATATTCAATTAACCTAAAGAACTTCTTCTGAACTCTTTCCAACAAACAACAATCAACATTGTAATAAGGCCGCCATACGGGAGAACAGTACTCAAGATGTGGGCGAACAAGGGATACATATAAAGTTTTCAAAGACCAAGGGGATAACTCTTTACAATGACGCCATATATAACCTAACATATTCATCGCTTTCTTAAAAATTAATTGATAATGAGGCTTAAAAGTAAGTCTAGAATCAAAAATGATCTTTCACCTCTTCAACTCTAGAGACTAAAGAATCACCAAGATAATAATCTGCTGTAATGATCCTTTTAATATTACCGAAAGATATAATGTCACATTTCTTTATATTGAGGGGTAGCATATTAATAATGGTCCATTCGTATAAACGTTTCAAATCCATTTGAAGATCTGAAGCATCATCATTATTTCTAATTGTCTTAAACAATTTAAGATCGTCAGCAAACATCAAAACCCTGGAGTATTTGAGCAAGATATTATATCATTAATAAATAATAGAAACAATATTGGGCCACAATGTGAACCTTGAGGCACACCTGAAGAAACTAAAAAGGGTTCTGATAGATGTTGACCAATTCTAACTTGCTGTACTCGTCCAGATAAAAATGATTTGAACCATTCCACAGTATCACTCCTAAAACCCAATTTACCCAATTTAAAGAGGAGAAGTCTATGATTAACCCTATCGAATGCCTTGGAAAAGTCTGTATAAACAGAATACACCTGCAGCCTTTCCGCAAAGGCATCATTCAAAAAACAATAATACTCTAATAAATTCGACAAAGTAGACCTGTTTTTGGAAAAACCATGCTGTTTATCGGACAACACATTAACTGACATCCACTGTATTTGCTTACAATTTAAAAAATTCAGCATTTTAGGAATCGCGGACTGATTGCAGACCCCCCTGTAGTTAATAATTAAATGACGTTTTCCTGATTTATAGATGGGAGTTACATAACTATTTTTCCATATCTCAGGAAATTTACATTCAAGCAAAGATGATTCAAACAAAGAACACAATGGTGACGTAATCGTACAAATACACTTTTTTAACAAAAAGCTAGGAATGCCATCAGGACCAGGACTTAATGAAGATTTCATAACTGAGATATAATCAAAGACATCCCTATTAGTTACCCTCAAACCACCATCATTTACTTCCATCTTAGGACAAAAATTAAAATTATCAGCCAAATCGTAGTTACTACCCTTATCATAAACTGATGAAAAAAAATCTGCAAACAAATTGGAAACGTCTTGACCACCTGAAGAGGATATTTCATCAAAAAACATTTCATTCGGAATACCATTACAATCCTTTTTGCTTTTAATAAACTTCCAAAAATATGTCAGATCATTCAATATACAACCATCCACCTTGCGAATATAGGAAGCATAAAGACTGTCATTAAGCTATTTACAACAAGACCTAACAGATTTAAAGTATAAATAGTCGTTAAGATTGCCAGAAACTTGAAATGCCGAATGGGCTGAGTTTTTCGTTTTGTATAATTCGATTAACTCCTTATTGAACCAACTTGGGTAAGACGAACAGCCAGTTCTTAATATTTTCGTGGGAATGAAATGAGTGATGCCCGCAAAAAGTATACCGTAGAATGTTAAAACTTTGTCATTTAAATTTTTGCCTTGAAAGCAAACATCCCAGTTAATAGAAGCAAGATAGTCGTTCAAAAGAACATAATTGCCATTGGCAAAATCAAAAACTTCAACTTGTGATATCAAAATTGTCGGGGAGTTGATGTCAACGGACCAAGAATATGGGATATGATGGTGACTGTCATCAAAAATGGGATCTTCCGCTTTAAATATGTCCAACTGCTTTAAATTCGTAAATATAAGGTCAAGGAAAACATTCCTATTATTTGGGATTTGATTAACCTGATTTAAATTCAAAAAAGCATAAGTAACGTTTAACATATTATAAAGTTCTCTGGAAGAACCAGCTAAATCATTAATAACTTCATTACCATCCCAGACCAAATGAGGTAAATTAAAATCACCGGCAATGATGTAGTGAAAATCAGGAAATTGTTCAAATATGGATTCCAAATCAGTACAATGATCGGTAAAAGTTTCAAGCGAAGACATAGGTGGAATATATACACCACCAATAATCAGCCTCAAATTATTGATAACAATACGAACATAAATACTTTCCACATTATCACTATAAAGAACGCAGGATGAATTATATTGTTTATTAATGGTAATCAAGACCCCACCACCTCTAGTTTTCAAAACGGACTCAAATTTCCGATCAGCACGATAAATTTTATAATTGCATAACAATAATTCAGAATCTAATATTTTGTTGCATAACCATGTTTATGTAACAATAATAACATCATAAAGACTAGCGTTTACATTCTTTGAGAACTCCTTAAGCCTAGTCCTAATACCCCCAGCATTCTGATAAAAAAAATTAAGTTTATTA